ACTATAAAATACTATAATTGGAGAAGAAACTTGAAATAATAACTGTCAAAATTGTATAGATGTTATGCTTCTAAAAAATGTTCAGGCTGTTTATGTAAAATCTCAACAAGGCTTTCAACTTTTTTGTAGTGAGAATTAGAAGGCATTGCCCTTTCTAAGCAAGTCTACAATAAATTAAGAAATGTTGATGAATTTTGTTTATTGCCAAGGGGTTGTCCRTTAAACTTGGCAATGGATAAATATGTTTTTAGCGATGAACGAAAAATKTTTTAGTGACTTTGGACTAAGTAATCCTTCTTTCATGTGCAAAATATTYGTGATTTTGAGCATAAAATTGAAGAAGAATTGAAATCAATTAATGTCTTTCTTCACGAAACTCTATATGCATTTTCTCTGTCTATGGTATATATTTTGCTTCATTTTGAGGCTCACAGAACACAACAGAACTCGAAATTGGAGTATTGCAGAGGGGTCAGTTTAAGCTGCTTCACTCTTTCATGTGTATATTTTTTTGCCGAGGCTTTTATTGTTCGCCGATGAAAGGAATTTTCTTTGAAGCAAGCTGAAGTTCCACTTAAAGTACTTTTAGATCTTCACATGCAATTAGTGAGATCCATTTTCATATTTTTAGAATTTGCTTGAAGCCTATTTCATGAATAAAAGTGGACAATACTAATTAATATACTGTAAGATTACTGCTCGTTCATTGGTGGATTAATTAAATACAGAAGCCATTGGCGACTCATTGACAGTGCAATAAAGCATCATGTGCTGTTTGGCACGAACACTGATCATTGGCCAATGCAGGATGTCAACCGAATGCATGAAACAGCCAACAGCGGTTCTATTTTACGTTATGCGCATTCAATGTGGGATGACAAGAGTGCTTTGTAAAGTGATTCGCGCATGATCAGTTTTCCCCATTTATCTCAAAATTTATTTTTACGTCAATTTCTTCAAGAATTTCAACGTATTTGAGTTTCAAATTAGTGTTGGAGTTTTTGAAGCCGTTTAAAACACTCGAGATCGTGTTTTATCAGGTATAAAGATTCGAGCRGATGGCGTTTTGAACGTCAATGAAAGAGTGCAAGAAAGACTCACACAGTCCCTTTGATTACGAGCTGCGTAGAGCTGGAAAATTCTACGACAGACTTCATTGGATTCTTAATGAGCACAGGACAGCACCTTCGTACATTTTTGAAACGAATTTGGAGGATCGACCAGTCTTCTTTGCTTGCTTTAGCTGCGTGGCGGCTCTAGGGGAGGGGGGAAG